GAACCTTCAAACTGACGGTGGCACAACCAAAGAACATGGCCTAACAGTCACCAGCCACCATTCCAATACCAGAACATTTGTGTTACCAAAGGGTTATCCACCATCTCCCAAATAACTCAAAACCAGGGCCAGAAGGGACATTTCCAGTTGCATCAAACAAAACATACAATATTGACAAACCGCAGAGGAAATTTTAATTTCTGAACATCTCTAGGATTTGTTGAGTGAATTTCAAAGCACTGAGCTTGAGATGCTACCCAGTATTCCATAGCCTATCATTACCTAAGGCCCAGTAAAATCCTTCTAATTGACATAGTTCATACAAAATAAACATGCCAATTAAACCATCAACCCAACTCTTCCCAGGCCAAAAGTAAACCATGGCAGTGGGAGATATTCACTTTTATTTCTTGAACTGCTTTTTACATAAGCATTGTACAAAGTATTAGAACATTTTCAAAATCTACATGAAGGTAAATGTGTCTTGTATGATAGCCACAAAAAAGAGCCAGGAAGCAGTCATCAGTGGAGGGACACAAAAACCTTGTCTACACTAACAAAAGTTACCCACTATTAAAGGATTTATGCAACAACTGCAGTTGAAACAACACTGAACACAACTTAACTGCAAGTTCAACCAAGAACAAACCACACTAAGGATAATTTTGGAAACTGAAATTGGGCATTTTTGTTAGGCAAGGCAGAAATTGGAAGTTAGTACCAGAAAGCTCTAATTCATAATGGTTAATGTTATGAGACTGTAAATATTAACAAAAGGGTGAGTGACCGCATCAAATGAATTTTGCTGAATCTGTTCCTTAGCAAGTGCCTTGTGCAATTTATTAAGGAACTCATTAGGGAAAGGCCAAGGCTTGCTGAGTTTGTTTCCAAAATTAAGGGCGACAGTAATAATTAGTATCTCTAAATAGATAGCAGCTCCAATCCATCCAAGAATTTCCAAGTATTTTACAAGTGTTATTATACAGCACTTGAAATGTTTATAAACACCAAATGTCTAGGAAGGAGCTAATACAAAAAGATGAGGCTTGAACCACACCCAACAAGAGGTGTTAAGGCACCAACCCCATTCCAGCAGCTGGAGAGCATACTGAGCTTCTTTCCAAACGCTCATACCTGCACATTCGCTCAGGAGGTTCCATCTTTGGTATCAGCCTCTGGCTAATAATTAACTAATAAACCTGAAGAGTGAAGCTTTTTCCCATTTTCCCCTGGCTCCTGGAAGACAAGAGAGCTTTCTCCCTTATCTCCACTGCTAATTGCAGCACCCTCTGTAAGATGCTGTCCAGAACCCTATGGGCTGAAATGAAACTCAGATTGGGTCAATTTCACCCAGTTTGGACATCATCAACTTGAAATGCTTTCATCTGAAGGGGAAAAAAAAGTGTGAAAGCAGTTACAATTCCTCCACCTGCCTGAGTCTCCCTGAAAATTTTGTCAGGTTGGAGTCACATATTCCAACTTTTTTAAAAAAAAATTCTTCCATGCTGATGTATGAAAGATCCACACAAAGAAAACTGTACACAAAAAGCTGCCAAATGCACAGAGTAAACACAGTAGAAAATAAGAGGAAAAGCATTGTTTCTTCTAGACTCTTTCAATTCTAGACATGTTAAATGCTACTTGAAACAATAATAGCCCTACTAAATTAATGGTCATGAAAAACGAGTCACGGACCGTGAAATCTGGTCTTTTATGTGCTTTTACCCTATACTATACAGATTTCCCGGGGTAGACCAGCATTTCTCAAACTGGGGGTCCTGACCCAAAAGGGAGTTGCAGGGGGGTCACAAAGTTATTTTAGGGAGATTGCGGTATTGCCACCCTTACTTCTGCACTGCTGCAAGAGGCAGCGCTGCCTTTCCAGCTGGGCAGCCAGAGAGCAGTGGCTGTTGGCCAGGCTCCCAGCTCAGAAGGCAGCGCCCCGCCAGCAGCAGTGCAGAAGTAAGGGTGGCACAACCCTCCCTACAATAACCTGGGGACCCCCACCAACTCCTTTTGGGTCAGGACCCCTATAATTACAACACTGTGAAATTTCAGATTTAAATAGCTGAAATCATGAAATTTATGATTTTAAAAATCCTATGACTGTGAAATTGACCAAAATGGAGGGCAACTTTGGTAGGGCCCTAATAAGGGGTAAGACATTTTTAAACAGAAGGGTTGGTGTCCTTGCAAGTATCATGCCCAAGCCAACATACAGAGCACATGAAACTAGCAGTATTTTTATTTCCAGTAGTGCCCACGTGTAATTAACAACCAGACCAAAAACTCTGAAGAACTGACAGTCTATCCTATGCTTCAGAAAAACAAAGGTCTCTTCCTGCTCCACTTTTCTGGACTACACTTGACAGTCTGCTGTAGCTGGTTTATTTATAATGAGCACTAACAAAACAAAGAACAAATCCCAATTACTTCTAGATTTTGACAAGATTAGAAGAAAAAAATTATTTCTTCCCTACCCACCCTGTTTGTTTACTATGTGCATTTGACAGTTTTGTGAACGCTACAATCAGTGTCATTACTGTCGGTGGGATCTTTCACAAATCAAGGGGTGGGGCGGTAAAAAACCATAAATGTGACTGTAAAACCATGGCAACTATCAAGCAGCCTCAGCAGGCAGGCGCAGGAGGAGCAAGCTGAGAGGAACCTGGGGCTGACATAACTTTAAAACTTACTATTATTTGGAGTTAATGACATTTCTCATGATTGGTGGCACATCAGAAACCTCTTCTGGGCCCATGGGAAATTGTGCAAAGGGGTCAGAAACCAAAAGCAACTACCTACAAGTAATATACCCTCCTGCCTACACCACAGCCACCCCTCACCCCAGGGGAACCCTCGCCCCCCAACGTGTTCCCCCAGCCCCAGGGAACCCCCGCCCCTCCCCGAGAACCCACCCCACTCCCAGGGAGCCCCCACAGGCCTGGGGATCCCTCCCCCCCAAGTGTATCTTCAGCCCCAGGGAACCCCCACCCCACTCCCAGGGAGCCCCCACAGCCCTGGGGAAACCTCCCCCCCCAACGTGTTCCCCCAGCCCCAGGGAACCCCCGCCCCTCCCCGAGAACCCACCCCACTCCCAGGGAGCCCCCACAGGCCTGGGGATCCCTCCCCCCCAAGTGTATCTTCAGCCCCAGGGAACCCCCACCCCACTCCCAGGGAGCCCCCACAGCCCTGGGGAACCCTCCCCCCCAACGTGTTCCCCCAGCCCCAGGGAACCCCCCCCCTCCCTGAGAACCCACCCCACCCCCAGGGAGCCCCCCACAGCCCTGGGGATCCCTCCCCCCCCCCCAACGTGTTCCCCCAGCCCCAGGGAACCCCCGCCCCTCCCCGAGAACCCACCCCACCCGCAGGGAGCCCCCACAGCCCTGGGGAACCCCCGCCGTGTTCCCCCGGCCCCGCCTCTCACCGGCCGCCAGGTTGTCCCGGAGCCGGAGCGGGACCCGCAGCCAGTAGAGGAGCCCGAGCGCCGCCAGCAGCCCCAGCGCTCGAGCCCAGGGCCCGGCGGCCAGCCCGGCCCCCCGCCGCCGCAGCCGCTCCCACCGCCCGGGGGCGCAGGCCGAGCCCTCAGGCCGCGCCGCCGGAGCCGCCTCCCCGCTGCCGCTGTCCGCCATGGCCGCGCCGCCGGGGCCGGGGCCGGGGCCGGGGCGCAGCGCTCGGCCGCGCGCGCGGGGGCGTCCCCGCCGCAGACGGACTGGGCTGCGCGCGCGCTGCGCTCGGCGGGGTCCGCGCGCTGCGCCTGAGGCTGCGGGGTCCTCCCGGGGACTCGGGTGCATGTAGCACTGGGGGTGCGTGCCCCTGCTCGGGGACTGGGGGGGGGGGGTGTCCTACACTCATGGGGGACGCACACAGTACCGGGGGTGCGTGCCCTGCTCGGGGACTGGGGGGGGGGGTGTCCTACACTCATGGGGGACGCACACAGTACTGGGGGTGCGTGCCCTGCTCGGGGAGGGGGGGGGGCCGCTCGGGGGACGCACACAGCGGTGCGTGCCCTGCTCGGGGACGGGGGGGGGGGGGCCACACAGTACCGGGGGTGGTGCCCTGCTCGGGGACGGGGGGGGGGCCCTCATGGGGGACCACACAGTAGGGGGGCCCCGGGGGGGGGGGGGGACACACAGTGGGGGGGCGTGCCCTGCTCGGGGACTGGGCGGGGGGGGGTGTCCTACACTCATGGGGGACGCACACAGTACGGGGGTGCGTGCCCTGCTCGGGGATGGGGGGGGGGGTACACTTGGGGGGAACAGTTGGGGTGGTGCCCTGCGGGGACCGGGGGGGAATGGGGGACGCACACAGTACCGGGGGTGCGTGCCCTGCTCGGGGACTGCGGGGGGGGGTGTCCTACACTCATGGGGGACGCACACAGTACTGGGGGTGCGTGCCCTGCTCGGGGACGGGGGGGGGGGGGGGGTGTCCTACACTCATGGGGGACGCACACAGTACTGGGGGTGCGTGCCCTGCTCGGGGACTGGGCGGGGGGGGGTGTCCTACACTCATGGGGGACGCACACAGTACCGGGGGTGCGTGCCCTGCTCTGGGGATTTTGGGGTGCATGTCCCACACTAGAAATTTGAGGGGTACCCAATACGAAGGGTCCTGCCTTCCCGTACGGCCCGGGGATGAGGCTTGGCTGTGTCAGTGTCAGGCCCAGGGCTCACCCCTCTGGCATGCGTGGGGCCCCTCCACGCAGTACATTCAGTCACGTTCCCACCTCCCCTTTGCAGCCCGGAAGGCAGAACCGCTCCATATGCCCTTCCCCTGCCTCCAGGAGCTGGGGCTTTAAGAGCCGCGGCACCCAACAGTGCGGAACGCGCCACGCACCAAAGTCATCGCACCCATAGAGGGCGGGGCTGATCCACTGCCCAAGACCGAGATGGCGCCTATTAGCGTCAATGAGAACTACCGGGGCCCACGATTGCCCTCAAACAAGATGGCGCCGGCAGCGCTTCCGGCCCGGCACTTCCGGATGGGCGGTTGCCTGCGGCCCCAGCCTCTCCCCCGCTGTCAGTTCCCGGCGTGCTTTGCACGGGTGGCCGGCGGGGCGGGGCCCAGCCACAGGATTCAAAATGGCGGACCTCGAGGACCGGGTGTCGGACGAGGAGAAGGTAGGGGCAGGGTTTTCTTGCCTCCCCTGAGCTTCCCGGGGTAGTGCCCCCCACTGGCTCCCTGCGGGCAGGGCCTCGGCCCCGCTGTAGGGCAGGAGGAGACCCCCAGACAGCCCCTTGCCCTATCGCGAGGGGGGAAACTTCTCCCAGAACCCCCCACAGCCAGGGAAGAGACCCGCTGACACTGTCCCCCCACGCCCGCCATGCCGCCGGGAGAGACCCCCTCCGATGCCCCCACATCTCCCTCGAGCGGGGGACGAGACCCCCCAGTGCCCCCCTCTGCTGCGGTGTCATCTTGCCTCCCCCAAGGAAGATCGTCACTCCCCGACGAGAGCGAGAAAACCCCTTCTGCTAATTTCATGACCCAGTACGGCACACGGACACGTACAGCACCCCACAACGGTGGGACGACACTACATCCAGTTCCTAGTAGAATTCCCCCTCCCCCGGCTCATTTCAGAGGGGGTGGTGGATAGTACCTCCTTCCCCTTTTAGTCTGGCTAATAGTGGGGGAGAATGGTGGGCTCTTCCTCCGCATCTTATTGCTTCACAGGCATGGGATGGGAATTGCTGCTTGGCAGCACAGTTAATCTGGACTGTTTCCAGGTGCCACGGGAGGAAGACCCAGACAGGCACTAGTGGGGAGCCAGGAGAGGAGCAGTCAGTTCCTTGTGACGATTGTTTCCTTCTAAGGTTTTTGTGCAAATGCTCTTTCAAGTATCTTTTTCAGTGACTGTGAAAAAAACTGGAAATGTCCATTTTCTTGTTGATGTCTTGTCCTCTTCTTGTAAGTCTCAACTCCTGCCCCACCGCTGAGTGAACCAACCTCAGGTTGGAAGTCAGCAAGCGCACAAGTTGGAGGAAGGCTTGTGGCGAGCCCCATCTCTTATGAAAAGTCATTGGAATATGTAGTGTCAACAGAGCAGATAGGGCCTTGCCTACTAAGCAAATACACTGACAATATAGATGTAGTCAATCTAAAACTTTCATTTTGCCTTTATCATCTTTAGTTCAGTTTTTCTAAATTCTCTTCCGATCGCCCCCTATGAAAAGAACACAATGAAGAGATTACAACCATAATTTAGCTGCATAACCTGAGAGTATATGGCTGTAGTCTGGGACATGTTCAGGAACATGAATTTGCCAGCACACTGTGTAGGCAGACCGAGCATGACCTGCTTGCTACTAACTACAGTGTATAAAAGACAGTGTTGTTCTCAGTTTTCTTTCCAGATCTGGTCAGTCAGGGTGTGTCAGTTCCTTAATCTGCTTCTGCTAGCAATGGGAGTTCTCGTTGATTAAACTTGGGTTTCATATGCAAGAAGTGGCACAAGGGGTAGATACTTTGACAAATTGAAATGTGGATAGGAAGATTTGTTTTAAGGATAGCAATCTACATTGCACAACTTCCTGCTTACTCTCACTTCTAATAATTTAATAAACTCTACTAAGAAGGTAATAGCTTGACAGTGGTTTTGGATTGTAGAAGACAAGAAAGATGGAATGAGATCACTAGAGCTCTTCATAAACACAAAAAAAGTTTCAGTGTCTTAAACTGCCATTGGGAAAATAAATTTACTTTTTTTCCCCCCTTCCCTGTAACTTATCACTTCCTCTCCACCTCCCAATATTCTTTTAAAAATTTTCTGACCAGCTTCAGCTCATAAGGATTTACTTCATAGATTCATTTACGTATTACCCTGGCTTTCCTCTCACTTGGAAGCTAGAATTACCTGCTGAATGTTGATACTAAAAATGGAGACATATTTTACTTAGCTAACGCTGGTATTTTAAATTGATATTTTGGTACTTCGCATTATTGATCTTTTCATAGCTTTGAGTGCAAGTACTATGTAGTCTAATTAGTAGTATGGGATAAAATATGCTTTTTTCTGAACAATTCTAAGGCTAATTTCTAACAGTTTTTTCCCATTTGCAAACAGCAGTTTTTAAGCCAAACATGCAATAAGTGATACCTGGACTTTGTCGTGATTCTGGCCTTCTGTTTCTGAAGCTTTCTTTAGTCCAGGCCTCTTCCTAAATCAATGAGGTTAGTGACCCTTTGCAATAGAAGACAGGAACAAACCAGGCAAAGGAACATAGAGGCCCCTATTTACAAAAAAATAATAATAAAAATTTAGGCTCTGCTGTGTTTCACAAAATCCCCACTCAGCTGCTGCCTAACCCTGTAGGCACTTACATTTTTGCTGTAAAAGTTTCTAAGGTGCTTAAGTTTCAGCCTTTTGGCATGCACACCACTGTCTCATACCTAAGCCCTAGTGTGATCATAAACCAAGTGAGTTAGGTGTTGCCCTGTCTATTGTGCTTACCAGATTGGGCCCTGCAAGCAAACTCCGAGCATACTGAATTCTACACAAAATGAATGGAGGAGTGACCACCTCCTTTAATACCTTTAGCCCAGTGGTTAGGGTTTTCAGGTGAGATGGGGAAACCCTGGTTCAATTACCCCATCTCTGCCTGATGAGAAAAGTGGGAAATCCTGGTTCAAATCCTATCAGGTGAGTGTCCTAACTACTGATTTATAGAGTCACTCATGCTGTCTGTGGGCTAATGCATGTTTAATTAGATGTACAAAATGGGACAGCTTCAACAAGAGAAATTGAGAGAGACTTACATCAGAATAACCCATAGTCCTTTAGTTAGGGTAGTTTGCTCAATGTTATATAGTATAAATTCTAACCATAAGATTGTATATTTCCTTCTTTTGAATAAATTCCTACCATTTTCAGCTATTCATACTTTGTAGTTCATTACTGAATTTCAGCTGAAGATTTTAACAAAATAAACTAAGCCACCTTTTATCCCTTTCAGTCGGTGTTTCCCCAATTTTAAACATGCTGGAATCAGAGGGGAACTGAGACAGAAGTTAAACGAGTTGCCTGTGGCATCGCTGACATTGGCAGAGCTGGGAATAGAAGTCAAAGCTCATAGTCTTCTGTTCTAACTGATAAACAACGTTGCAAACACTTTGCAGACAAATTTAGGGCATTGTTTGTCTTGCACACACTTTCTCTTTTTAAATGCTTAGCTTTAACTGCACTGACTTTAAAAAGATAAAAAAATCAGTGCACATCACTGAGAGACCAAGCAAAATGAACTAATCTGGTTTGTCACATCTAAAACTATCTAGTCATTAAAAAGAAAAGGAGGACTTGTGGCACCTTAGAGACTAACAAATTTATTTGAGCGTAAGCTTTCGTGAGCTTCATCGGATGCATCCGATGAAGCTCACGAAAGCTTACGCTCAAATATATTTGTTAGTCTCTAAAGTGCCACAAGTCCTCCTTTTCTTTTTGCGAATACAGACTAACACGGCTGCTACTCTGAAACCTATTTCTATATCTATTCATTGTCCCTCATAGTCATAGGTAAATGTTGGATAATTGAAGCATATGCAGCACATTCAAGACTCTTTGAATCTATATTGCTCTGGCTTCTTATGAATTCTTTGTACTGTCACCCTTTTTTCTGCTTCTATTTAAAAAAAAATAGCGGTCAGGTGACTTCACTACTTGATGCTTTCCCCATTTCAGAAAGAGGAAGTTAGCAGAAGCTAACACTCTGCAGAGATACCTGAAATGGTAATGATGAGCCCGGAAGTAGGTCAGTTTTGCAGAAATAGTTAGTTTCATACTTCTGCAGACGAACATGCTATCAGTGTGCTGACACTTGAAGGTGAAGAGACTCTGAAGTGACAACAGTGCAGAAGCTTGATATATAGGATTAATTTCTTTACCAAATACAAAGTCTGCTTCTTCCATTTCATGAGTAGGCATTGCTGTTTTCAGTTGTGTAGAGTAATGCTCTCTTCCATTGTTTTTCAATTGCTCCAGAGCAAAGGGAGAGGAGAGAGTGGATAAAGTTACACTTTATAAAAAGGATTACATGTCTTTGCAGTGTGTGTTTTGCTCGTGGCTGCTGTTTTAATGGCACTTGTCCTAAATGTAGATTTGTCAATCACTGTCGTGTCTAGTTAACTTCACCAATCTTACTAAAGTGGACGAAGTTACTTACAGATTGAAGTGTATGTAGGAGTTGTGGTTTATTCTGGGTTTGAGTCCTGGACTTAGTTTTTTAGGAAGCAAACTATTTTAGGTGCAGAGCAGAATTTGGGTCTAAGGTGGGGTATAATACCAAAAGAGAGGTGGTGATGTCTTCCTAACTATAATAAGGCCCCACTTTATCAGGGCCCCAAGTACAATGCAGTTGTGCAGCTGCATTAATGACCAGCCACATCATTTATCTAATTACCAAGATGTTGCATAAATATAGACACTGCATAATTATTTTTAATGGCCATTTTATCCAGCTGCCATTTTAGGAGCTCAGTTGGAAGAGAGCAAACTGTGTCCAGTTGTGGAAGTGGAGTAGGGGGACTGTATTCCCTGCTGTGATCCTTCCTATTGACATGGATCTTGGCATCAGTTAGATGAAGTTGTGTGAGTACAGCAGTTGTAGTAACGCTTTAACATGTACAGAGTGACATGTCTTATGTTTATGCTTATACTTTTTAAGAAAAGCACACACATCAGTCATGTAGGGTAGGACTCACAGTAAAGTCTACAGGGCAAACTGGAACAGCAGTATCCATATTAGTTACTATCCAGTAATCCTGATCACAGTCAAGGATAGTCTAATGCTTTCTGTTACACATTTTCAGAAGTTGTATGGATCTTAGATACTCTAACTAGGATGAGAGTTATTTAGCTAGTAGAATTTTATTAAACAATGAAAAAACACATTTTAGCAATTCTAACTGTCTGTCATGCTTCAGCAAAAAGCAGAAGGGAACTAAGGGCTTGTCTACACTGGCACTTTACAGTGCTGCAACTTTCTCGGTCAGGGGGGTGAAAAACCCCCCCCTGAGCGCTGCACTTTTCAGCGCTGTGAAGTGCCAGAGTAGACAGTGCACCAGCCACGCTCCCAGCGCTGGGAGCTACTTCCCTTGTGAGGGTGGGTTTTTCATGGTGCTGGGAGAGCTGGTGCCGCGACTACACAGCCACGTTACAGAGCTGCCGGGGCAGCGTTAACGTTGCTAGTGAAGACATGCCCCCAGCCTGGAAAGGTGGGCAAACGTTCCATCCCGCTTCATGCCCTTGTTTATGCGTTTTTATTCTTTTGTCAGTTGCACTCAAACTAATGTAAATATTTTCCGCATTAAAAAAAACATAATTTTAAAAAATAAATAAGTATCAATAGTTTTTGCTTTTCAAGTATCTGTGACGCTGGCACCTTGCTCAGGCTCAGTCCAACTAAGATGGAGGTGATGCTGGTAGGATGGGAAAGCACCAAGAAAGCATGGCAATGCCTCCTCTGTCAGTGAAATGTTTTAAATCCCTTCTAAGGATGTAGAATTGCAAGCTAGAAGCCAGAAAAGTGTTTTTGAAGGGGGTTGGCCTCTCAACTCTGCTCCTGCAGATTAATTAATTTAATGATTAATTTGATATTTGTACTACTTTGGTTTGTTATTCAAAATGGCCTTTACAGGACAAATTTAAAACAATACTTGCTGTATTGGCTGAAGACAATGAATGTAATGCCTTATCCAGAAAGAAAGCCTTAGCCAGCTTTTGCCATAATTGAAAGTTATGAATAACTGTAAAACTAAGTGGAAAAAAGAGGTGTGTTTTATATAAGCCTCAAAGGGAGCTGTGTAATTGTGTGGCTGAGTCTATTTGTCTCCAGAGTCCTGACCAGTAACATTTTTCAGAGTAACAGCCATGTTAGTCTGTATTTGCGGAAAGAAAAGGAGAACTTGTGGCACCTTAGAGACTAACCAATTTATTTGAGCATAAGCTTTCGTGAGCTACAGCTCATGAAGTGAGCTGTAGCTCACGAAAGCTTATGCTCAAATAAATTGGTTAGTCTCTAAGGTGCCACAAGTACTCCTTTTCTTTTTCCAGTAACATTATATTCCCTCAGGTGCAAACCATAAAGCCTATCTTGGAATTAGGGAAACTATTTAGACTGAAACAAATTTGCCTTAGTACCAAAGCTACGTGAATTCAAATGATACAACACACTAGCATTTAATACATTTTAGAATTCACTGGTGGTTTTGATTTTCCTTTCCCACTTCAAAGTTCAGGAAATCTCAGGTATTACTTTCTTCTGACATCAGCCTGCTCAGACCTTTATCATAGTCCTTCTGATTCCAGATGCCTTAATTCTTTCACTACATTGTGAAGCTTCATGATAGGCCCATAGTACAACTTTCAGTGAAATATACAGTTCTAGACAAATTAATTAACATTGTGTCACAGAATGGCACCAACTCCCTTTATTGACACATGCCAGAAATGGTCCCACGTTCTGTGTGGAATTGTTTTCAGTTTTTTCCTTAACCGAGGACCCCAAATGAACAATAATTCCAGACAAGAGAGTAACATGACATTACTAATGATCAGAGATCTTAGCTTTCCATGATTTAAAAAAAAAAAAAAAAATTCTCAGATTAAAAATACCTGATAAAAATCCATGTTTTTCCATGGTTAAAATGAAACACTGAACTAGTTTCCCTAGCCATAATATATATATAGGTATCAATGTTTTATTGATATACAGTAGAACCCCATTTATCCAAGCCTCCATTATCTGGCTTTCCATATTAACCGAACCACCAGCTGCGCAGGGACTGACCGCCTATGCCCCAGCCACCCCGGGGCTGACCACAAGAGCTGTCAGCATTGGGCATCTGGTGGTTCAGTTAATACAGAGAGCTGGATTATGGAGACTCGGATAAATGGGGTTTTACTTTATACATCTTTATTTTTTTACAAAATGTAAAAACTTAAGATTCACTGTAAAAATGCAAATTCCATATTTTTTCCATGGCAAATGGATTGCTAGGATCCCTGATAATGCTAAACCATGGTGTCCAATAGTGAATCCCTTAGTCAACTCCATGCAAATTCAGCAACTAATTGCTAGGCTCAGATGAGCTTTAATAGAAATTTTTCTCACTTGTTTCCAAGTAGGAGGTCTTAGGTCTGAAAGTTTCCTGACCATATTCGCTCCATCGTCTTCTTGCACAGGTCATATTGTGTGGATGAAAGATGGAGATGTACCTGTGTAATCAAAGTAGTATACATACACGATATCCTGAGTTTTAAAGAGGTATTCAGTGCATGCAGCAGAAATAATGTTGGCTTAGGGTTTGCTGCTTTGTATTCCCAAAGGTTTTATGGCTGCTTTTACTTGAGTATTTTGAGATGCTTTAGCTCCAGTAAAAAGGTTTCATTGTGGCTACTTTTTTCTAGACTAAAAGAAAAGGAGTACTTGTGGCACCTTAGAGACTAACCAATTTATTTGAGCATGAGCTTTCATGAGCTACAGCTCACTTCATCAGAGAAAGCTCATGCTCAAATAAATTGGTTAGTCTCTAAGGTGCCACAAGTACTCCTTTTCTTTTTGCGAATACAGACTAACACGGCTGTTCCTCTGAAACCTGTCATTTTTCTAGACTGTGGCTCCTGCTCTCTAGATTGCAAGAACAAGAGGGTCCCACAGTAGCTGAACAGGTCAAAAACTGAGAGATAAGTGCCTGGCCTCACTGCTGACTAACTCTCTGATCCTTCCAATGTTTGTGAAAAGCCTTAAGGCTTTATGGGTTGTATCACTGCTCTGCTTAATCAGGCCTATTCTCTTTACAACATGCTCAGGAAATAATGTTTTAATAGCTAGCTTGAGAATAACTTTCACCTCTGGACACGTAAAAGTTTGCTCTGGAGGATATCCATCACAAAGCCAGGCAGTGTTGGCAGGAGGTGTGCCCACAGTTCAGGGTGGTGGGATTCACCAGAATCGCACAACAGGGGATGCAAGAGAAATCACTTGTTGAAATCTGGAGGCTTGTTTCTAAGGCAGGGTCTCCCTCTGCTGACATCTCAATTTAATTTTGTAACTTTACATCACTGTCCACTTTTGTACTTTGTACGTTTCCATCACTCTCTGCTTTCTCATTTTGTATCTTTACTGTTTCTTCCACGAGTTCTTATGACTTCAGTTACTTTCCCTTTGAAGCCTGTAAAGCATAACTAATTGTGTTTAAAGTAGGCAGGACTACATCTTTATGCAAACTTCTAGTCCCATGGTACTTGGTGGGGAGAGGGTATTTGTCTTCCTTCTTGGAAAGGATCTCCTCTCTCAGCTATCATGTGCTGCTTGTTTCCTGGTGGTCAGTGGCATCTCCTCCTCCTACCCGTCAGCAGCAGCAAAGCAGTTACATCACAGGCAACCCTCAATTCTTTCAGTGTATATTACACTTCTTAGCTACACAGTTATCCAGTAGGCTGTCATCTAGTAGCAGGCCCCTCCTCTCCATCCCTTTCAGGACTTTAGTAACTCACTCTGTACGTAATCGACATATGGACCGCCAGGTAGTTCCAAGCAGTGGAACTCCGTTTTGTTAGGTCACAAGAAGACGGTTAGATTATTTTTAAAGGGAGAATGTTGGCTAATTGTGTGTGCACTTGTGCAGGCTGAGCAGTTTGGTGTCTGAGGTGATGTTTGTGATCAAAAAGCGTGTTTACAAAGCAAAGTCCATGTTTTCAAGTGTTCACAAATTTTGGGTGACCATCTTGGGAGTCCTAGAGACTGATTTATCAGAGGTGTTGAGCATCTGACTTCAGTTAGAGTTGTGGGTGCTCAGATACTCTGAAAAATCAGGCCCAAAGTCTCAAGTTGGGTCCCCAGAACTGGAAGCCACACAAAACTAATGGTAGGCTTAGAAGGATTAGATTTTTATCAGTAAATGTCAGTAACCCTCAATTTCATTTCACACACACATACACACACACAATATTTTCTTTGATGATCAAACTTTACAGATGGGGAAAGTAAGAAAAATGCTATTTGGGAACATTAGAGTTTGATTTAAGGGTATTTGCTGTGTATTTTGGCATATGATATTAACAGTTTGTATTTTAACTGTTAAAAAGCTTTAACTTTTTGACTTTCAACATCTGTCACTAAATAATAATTGCCTGACCCCCTCATAATTTCCTACAATTGTGAAACTTTAAATTTATGACCATCAAAATGAATGCAGAAAACCTATAATTTTGTGCAACTGTGAAAATTTACACAGATAAAAATTTAAAAAATACTTAAACATCAGTATTATCCATCAAAATTATAAAAACATAAAAATCAAATTCTGTCGAGCTTTAACTAAAGGACGCTTTTGAAAATTTGTGCCTAAATCTCTCCATAAATAGTAGCACTATCTATAACTGTAACACTCAGTTCTGCTAGTGAGCTATGCTGGTGTAAATCTGTTGCAGTGTGTTGGTACCTAAACAAAAAAACTTGCACAGTTTATTGAATTTAGTCTGATGACTATTGTGCTTTACTGCAGGTGCATATAGCTGCAAAATTCATCACTCATGCACCACCAGGAGAATTTAATGAAGTGTTTAATGGTGAGTAAATAAAAGAAAATTAAATAGTTCATAGGATTTTCCAGGTTTCAGCTATTATCAGAAAGTATTTAAGGTACCTCACAAAATATGATTGGCAGAGAGGCTATACTTTTTACGGCCAAGATTTTTTAAAAGTGGCTAATGATTTTAAATACTGACTTGAGATACCTTACAAGAGGCTGGATGCTCAGCACTTTCTGAAAATCAGACCATGTTAAAGGGTCCCAACTTAAGCACCTCATAATTGAGGTACCCAAATCAGCCATTTGTGGAGTCAAGGCCTAAGATCCTAGGTTTAACGTAAATCTCCCCACTGTATTTTCCACTGAATGCATCCGATGAAGTGAGCTGTAGCTCACGAAAGCTTATGCTCAAATAAATTTGTTAGTTTCTCAGGTGCCACAAGTACTCCTTTTCTTTTTGCGAATACAGACTAACACGGCTGCTACTCTGAAACAAGTAAATTTTTTTGTGATCTTTGTTTATGTGTGCATGACCCGTGGATGTTGTTCTATTGTGTTTCCTTAGTACCTTTCAGGCTTGATCTGAACTGTTTGAAGCCATTCATATGAATGCAAAATCCTTTGTCTGGATGCTATTTCACTCTGCTACTTTGGTACAGCATTGACTTGATGGTATTGTGATGAATAGTAAATACTCTAAACTGGCTTTTACCAGACAAATGTAACATCTGATTGTAAAGGGATATAATCAAGTACTCTGAAGTTTATGTTATGGAGACATAATAGTAACTAGCTTTCCATTTATGTAATATATTTTGGACTCCATCATCAGAAAACAGCACAGGAGCCATTTTCACTGTTCAGCAATGGTGTGGCTGGAATTTTGTTAGAGCCAGAAGGGTTTTTGGTTTACTTTCATTCTAGCATAACTCAAAAGTGGCTAAAGAAATTCTTTAACTTAATAATAATAATTAAAAAAAGTTGTTTTGAACAGTGACCAAGAAAGAGAAAAATTAGAGCCGGAAAGGTACATGTTTCAAAAAGCTGTGAATGTATGAAAATGGAGAGTATAATGGGAAAATGTTTAATTCTTATTCTACTACTACTACTAATAGTAATCTTATATAGAGTTTCATCAGTAGATCTCAAAGAACTTTACAAAGCATCATTATCCCCATTTTACAGATGGGGAAACTGAGGCATGGAGGTAAGTGGCCAGCAGGCCAATAGAGTTCAGGTCTCCTGAGTTCCAGTCCAGTGCTCTATCCACTATAGCGACAGTTACTTGTAATGACCAGTAGGCTAGCCCGTCTGCCTAGCATGGTTGTGCTTTACTAGTCTTTAATCAGAATCATCACACAGACAGCAAGGAGGGAAGAATTTAGTTCCATTATACAACCACACACTGTTTAGTAAAATGATTTACAGCTACTGTAATGTTTGTTGAGCCTCTGCTTCCATTTCAGTATTAGGGTGCAAAGATAGACATTTGATACTCTGTCTGAACACTTTCTTTTCTCTAGATGTCCGATTACTGCTTAACAATGACAATCTTCTCAGGGAAGGGGCGGCACAGTAAGTGTTGTTTAAAACAGGTTTCAGAACATTTTAAGGAAGTGTATAAGCATGTGTTTTTTCAGTCTAATGACATAATGATGTGAATTGCGATCAATTGTAGTGTTGGTGGAGGGGGCGATGTACTGTAATTTCCCCCTTCCAATCAAAACACCTGGAAAGGAAGGTCATCTCCCAAAAGTCTAAGCAGAACTATCTTTGTTTTAATAGAATCTAAACAAATGAGGAGAGCCAACATATATATATATTGTAACCTTTTAGCATCTGAGGAATGATTCATCTTTGTTCAAACCGCCAGAGGACTGGTACCTGTCACGCTGTCTGGAGTGGTTCACAATCATGAATGCCATCCTCAGGGTGGGCAGGTGTCAAGAAGCAGAGCCAAGACCCCAAACTAGTTGTATGGTCTATAATTGGCTTTCACCAACCCGGTAACAAGTGTGAATTCCTGAAGCACAACAACAGTCGTACTGTGGCATCACAGACAGTCCCCTTGGGCACGCCAGTCTCTCTTGTCCCCCAGGCAAGCTGGACGGAGGGCTTGGGACACATACAGTGCTGCAGCTAAAGCACTGTAACACTTTAGTGAAGATATTACTACGCCAAAGGGAGAGGCGGTAGTTATGTGGATGGGAGAAGCTCTCCTGTTAACCTAGCACTGTCTCACCTAACACCGGGGGCTAGGTTGGTATATCTACGTTGCTCAGGGTGTGGATTTTTCACACCCCATAACAACGTAGTTACACCGTTGGGAGTTTGTAGTGTAGACCTGGCCTTAGTGATAGTTGGTTGCTCTATACCAAAGATCTCAAAATATTCATGTTGCTCCCATCACAGGAAACTAGTCATTTACCCCAGGTCAAGTCATACCTTAGATATCACACCAAAAAATATTCCCAAGGCCACTGTCTATGAAAGTATTAAATATGGACATTTTCTCTGTACTGGTATTTCTATTCATTAGTCCCTCAGTGAAAATATAAATAATAAAGATTGCACAGTTAAAGCTTACCTTTTTTTCCATTATTAACAGTGCATTTGCCCAGTATAACATGGATCAGTTCACTCCGGTGAAGATCGAGGGGTATGATGATCAGGTAAGATGAAGTTTTGCTGCCTGTCTTTGCAGGTTTTCATATTAGTATCCATCACTGCAGGTATTACGATGGCCTTCCATCGTTATGTTATGGTTAGGTTGAAAATATGATCATCTGATCACCTAACATTTTTCTTTGCACTCAGTATTTAGCAAACTTCTCTCCTTACAGAAAAGCCTCCGACTGACCATGCTCTCTATTGCTAACTAAATTCAGTACTCCTTCCTTAGGCACAGTTCCCTGCTAAAGCCAGTGGAAGTCTTGCCTGAGGCAGAGCGAGCAAAGAATGCTTTTCTTTTAGGGCTGTTTAGCAGCTCTCAGATGCTGCATACTCCCAGCTCCCATTGGTTTCAATATCAGGCTCTTAAAAAATAGCATATGTTTTGTTTTCCATTTCCATCTATACCAAACCCCTCCTTATCCAATTATTCCAAATATATTGGCTCTCCCATTATATCATTTCAGCCTTTCTGCATTCCCTACTCCTGTATAAAATCACAAACTAAAGAACTTCCCATTTGCCTCCAAAAGATGATCTGGGAATTTTTTTGCTTCTTGATACTTACAGACTGAAGTTTCACGAAGGGTACAATTAATTTCCATTTTTCAGAGGAAGAAAGTGGGCCCTGTTGGAGACTGAAAGCAGGCTTGGCTGCCTCTGGTTTCTGAGCTCCATACTGATACAGGAACTGCATCCCAGTGTCCACTTGTGCAAGAGGGTTCGGTCAAGTGGTGCAGGCATGGGAAGTATAGCAGTACTAGGCTGCCAACAGAAGCAGATTTGACAGAAGCTGTACAACCTGTGAGAAAGAGGTTTGGCTCTTCTGCTTGGTCTGGCTTCTGAGATGACTGATCTTCTGGTGAGGCAGGGAATGCCCTGTTGTGCTGTTCAAGACCATTCACCCCAGCCTAAACCTGATACATAGTGAAGTAACCACATCTACTCTCCCTCCTTGATCAGAGGAGGAGTTGCTGCAACATACAGACTTATGGAAGGAAGAAGAGAGAGGAAAATGATGGAACCCTGAGGTACACCCACCCTTCTCTCTAGGAAGGAGAAAGAAATGGGGCTTGAGTTATCCTATTAGAGTTTGACAGAAGCAGAATAATTGATGTTTGTATTTCGTACAAAGGATCCCAAAAAACGTTGTAAGCATTCTATAAACAACATCAGTGAATGCAGCCATCTTTGGGCTGGATAGCTACAACATAACCATGGTGAGAGGGAAAGTTTCTCCAAGGACCTCAGAGCAAACCCCAAATCATTAAGTGAACCACAGAACCATTAATGTCCTTGCAAAGGAGAGGGCACTTCAGATCATAAGGTTTCATTTGAAACAAATAGTGCCTTGGGGTGAAATTGAGCAAACTTGCGCTCAAGAGCCCCAGAAGAGCAAAATGAGATTTAAATAAGCATAAGGAAGCGCTTTGATCTTTCCCTTTATTTTTCAGGTCTTAATTACAGAACACGGTGACCTGGGCAATGGCAGATTTTTGGATCCAAGGAACAAACTTTCCTTTAAGTTTGATCATTTAAGGAAAGAAGCAGGCGACCCCCACCCTGAGGACACAGAAGCTGCTCTAAAGCCCTGGAGAGATGCCTGTGACAGTGTGCTGAGGGCATATGTGAAAGAGCACTATCCCAATGGCGTTTGTACTGTTAAGTACCTGCCTTATTTCATTGATGGGTCTTTGCCCCAGGCCTGTGAGCCCCACGGGAGACTTTGTACTGCATTTTGAGCTCACATCTTCATTAGTTTCAGAGTAGCAGCCGTGTTAGTCTGTATCTGCAAAAAGAACAGGAGTACTTTTGGCACCTTGGAGACTAACAAATTTATTTGAGCATAAGCTTTCGTGAGCTCACGAAAGCTTATGCTCAAATAAATTTGTTAGTCTCTAAGGTGCCACAGGTACTCCTTATCTTCATTAGTGTCTGTCTTGTAGGTCCTTATTCTTGTACAGCAAAGACAAGAGGGTTCCGAGATTTTGTGTGCGCATTCATATCGTGTGTAAACTAGTGGCAAAATGTTTCCCTTAATTACCTCAATCACCTGTGGGTAAATATGCACTAATGCACCTGGCAGCCCTCTCCAGTGTTAAGCTGACCAGGAAAGGGAAGTAATGTGTACATGCATAGACAAGGTGTACGTGCACGGTCTGCGTGCTCTCAGCGCTGTGATATAGCAGGATATTGAAGCTCCATCTAGTGTTACCGGGATTAGGACCACAAAGCTGGTGTAATACACACAGCAGGAACATGGCACTATGATGCTTATTTTTCATTTCTTTATGAATTCAGGTTTACGGCAAGACTGTAGATGGACAGCAGACAATTATTGCCTGTATTGAGAGCCACCAGTTTCAGCCCAAAAACTTCTGGTAAGAATATTTTAAAGTATTCACACTCCTTCCTTTTCTAGCCCTTTGAGCACAAGCAGTAGGCTGATCCAGAACAAGTGCTCTGCTTCCTCTCTTGCCCACTTCCTGATGACTTCTGCTTCTGGCCTGCCTCCCTGGCAGGCTGTATGAAATTGCTCTGAGAGAGGCCCCTGTGATGCTCCATGAACCAGCCAATGAAAAAGGCACTAGTGAAGCGAGGGAGCTGTAGCCCTCATTGTTTCGGAGCCCAAGCTGTACTGGTGCATCATTGCCTTGAACTGCACTGCACCAAGGGAACGAGGTGCCCAGTGAGGCCTTTGAATATGGCCACAGGGCGCGGGGAGAAGAGCAGAGGCAGCACGCTGGGCTCTTTCCCAGTCCGTTTGTGCTTTGGTTCTTTTTAGGAATGGCCGTTGGAGATCAGAGTGGAAATTTACCATCACGCCCCCTGCGGCTCAGGTGGTTGCAGTGCTGAAGATCCAGGTTAGTTACACTGCTCAGCAACAATCACATCGATTGCATTGCTGCTTCTCAAGGGGTTCTTGTGGATTTGACTCAAAAAGTAAATCCTTAGGTGTCCACAAAGATGCCATTTTAAACTACGACACTTCATGACTGCTGAATTGTGCATCAGCTGTATGAAATGCTAAAGAAATGGAATCCTTTGAAAGTTATAATAGCTAAAGTCTGGCCTGACGGTTTAGTGTTAGTGGATTGTATTACCATGTGGATCCAAGCTCTGCACTTCACTTCTGGTCCCTGCTAACCAGGAGTAAGCCTACAAGTTGTCCAGTGAACCCTTTATTGCCTGCTCTCATCCCAGCGGTAATGAGTGTTTACTGCATTAGCATAATATTGAAAGGTCCTGGCTGAGAATAAGATCCCTTGGAAAATCCATCCAGCCTTGGTTAGTCTCCACTGGAGACTGAGAAACCTGTCACAATATTGTTGTTGTGAGTTTTTCCTGGTCTTTGGCCGCATCTGTGGACAGCATCTAGCATAATGGAGGTCTGGCTCGGTTGGGGCCTCTAGGTATTACCACAATATAATGTGAATTATAAACTGTTCTTGTTCTTTCTTTGTGCAGGTTCATTACTATGAAGATGGCAACGTGCAGCTAGTTAGCCATAAAGACATCCAAGACTCTCTAACGGTTTCAGTGAGTATGGAGAATTTACAACATTTCAGCAGCTCTTTTGTGTTGATTTATGTCCCCAAAGGCAGCTTTACTCTCAAATATGACTCCACTCTTGTGTCACTTACTGTAAAGGCTTTTGATCAAATTATAGGCTGACCAGTCAATGAGCAGCAACACATACAGGGGCATGTGGGAAACCCAGCTTCTTACACTGCGTGTAGACTAAAGACTGTAGTGAGAGGCACGCTGCAGGGTGTTAGTTGTATGCTCTTCAAGTTTAGAGTAGGAGTCACGTATGCCTTGGGGGAAACTAGTTGCCTTCTCTTCCCTATGGGAGGAAAAGGGAGAATTTGAACCAAAATACAACAGCACATTTCTGAAAAATCTTGATTCTTCAGCACCAAGGTCAGGCAAATGTAGTTGCAACAAGTGCTTGGGAGTCCTCAGAAGAGAAGGTAACTTTATTCTTGTAATGACAATTAGGCTGGAAGAAAAAGGCGGTCAGTGTCTGCTCACAAGTTTGTTCTGTATCGAAAATGCCCAGTTCTCTTTTGCTCACTAGAGGGCAGCCCTGTCTTTCAGTTGTTTAATGTCAGCTTCACTTACCTCTCTTCCCTGCTGCACCCTGCTGAGCAGCAGCCCAGTTACTAATGGGTACTGGCCCGATGTAGGTCGGAAACTGTCAGCTTTCTTTCCCTAATCACCGATGAGCTAAGTATTTACAGAATTTCATTCTAGAAGGAAACCCATTTAATAGATTTTTATATTCAGCCTTTTGATTGAACTTGAAAGTAAATTTCATTCCTCTTACTCTGTAGAATGATGTCCAAACAGCCAAGGAATTTATTAAAATCATAGAACATGCGGAAAATGAGTATCAGGTAAGAGAATTTAGCAGGGATCCATGGGATTCCATTAGGCTTGTTTATTTTCATGGATATTTTAAAAGCTATTTCCCTCTATTTACAAACAATCAGAACATGAGAGATTAATGCTCTAGTTTTGTTCCGCCCCTTGTCCTTTCTTCTCTACCTTCTGTTTCTAGTTTCATAGTCAGTTTATCTGATTTTGATTGTAAATTCTTTGGAGCAGGGACAGTAGTTTATCTGTAAGCCACCAAGTGCAGTTACGGGGCTATATAAGTGTTTAAAAACAAATGAAATAAAGTCAGCAGTTTAGGATATTAACAAGAAAACTGGAGCGGGGCCTGGAAGGTGCAAAGTCACTGATTCCAATTCATGAGAAGATCACACTGGATAGAGCTGTTGGCAAGCTCAGCAGAAAGGCCAGGGAGCAGATGAGTCAGGGAGCCTGAACTCACCTCTCCGCCTCCCTGTGACTAAGGCTATGGCTACCCTGGCACTTCACAGCGCTGCAACTTTCTCGCTCGGGGTGTGAAAAAACACACCCCTGAGTGCTGCAAGTGACAGCACTGTAAAGCGCCAGTGTAAACAGTGCCCCAGCGCTGGGAGCTGTGCTAATCTCCTCGTGGAGGTGGAGTACCAGGAGCGCTGGGAGAGCTCTCTCCCAGCCCTCGGCGCTAATCCCCTCGCGGAGGTGGAGAACCAGGAGCGCCGGGAGAGCTCTCTCCCAGCCCTCGGCGCTAATCCCCTCGCGGAGGTGGAGAACCAGGAGCGCTGGAGAGCTCTCCCAGCCCTGGCGTGATCCCTCGCGGAGGTGGAGAACCAGGAGCGCTGGAGAGCTCTCTCCCAGCCCTCGGCGCTTATCCCCTCGTGGAGGTGGAGAACCAGGAGCGCTGGGAGAGCTCTCTCCCAGCCCTCGGCGCTAATCCCCTCGCGGAGGTGGAAAACCAGGAGCGCTGGGAGAGCTCTCTCCCAGCCCTCGGCGCTAATCCCTTCGCGGAGGTGGAGTACCAGGAGCGCTGGAGAGCTCTCTCCCAGCCCTCGGCGCTGATCCCCTCGCGGAGGTGGAGAACCAGGAGCGCTGGGAGAGCTCTCTCCCAGCCCTCGGCGCTGATCCCCTCGTGGAGGTGGAGTACCAGGAGCGCTGGAGAGCTCTCTCCCAGCCCTCGGCGCTGATCCCCTCGCGGAGGTGGAGTACCAGGAGCGCTGGGAGAGCTCTCTCCCAGCCCTCGGCGCTGATCCCCTCGTGGAGGTGGAGAACCAGGAGCGCTGGAGAGCTCTCTCCCAGTGCTGGCGCACGACCACACTCGCACTTCAAAGCGCTGCTGTGGGAGCGCTCCCCAGTTTCGAGTGTAGCCATGCCCTAAGAGCCTTTGCTAAGGAAAGGTCTGCTACAGCTTCCCATGCAGTGCTTGTTCTGTGCGTAAGAAGGGGCCTTACCACAAGGCCTTTTGCAAATAAATTCCCGGGAGAAGAAGGCAAGAGAGACCCTTTCTCAACACACACTCACTCACTCACTCTCTCTCTCACCCCCGCTAAGTTTGCTTTATCAGTTAGTTGGTAACTAGCATGCCTGGCTTTAATACTGAGTAAAGCTTTTTGAAAGCATCCATCCTCCTGCTCAGACAAACACTTTCAATGTGGTTGCTCTTGCAGACGGCAATCAGTGAAAACTATCAGACTATGTCCGACACCACGTTCAAAGCCTTGCGTCGGCAGCTGCCCGTCACTCGCACCAAGATTGACTGGAACAAAATCCTCAGCTACAAGATTGGAAAAGAAATGCAAAATGCTTAAGGGAGAACTGATGAGATTGATGAAACGGTAGCATACAAAAACCTAAATGTGGTTGTATGCCAAGTAGGTGGTTTCCAAACCAGTGTGGCATTTTGCTAGGGCTTTCAAAGTTAACAAGTTTTCTAGCCTCAAGGAAAACTATTGAACAAATTGCATTCTCTTTGTGTTTTGTGTTCCCTACCATATAAACTTCCTGTTACTGCATTTACTGGTAGGTCATTTGAATTAAACCACATTAATGGTTCAGTTATATAGTTCTGTTTGGGAGTCACTGTAATTGTACTGGTTGGAAAATTTCCTAGCCCTGAAAGCCCCTTTATAAATACAGGCCGGTGGTGTTGCGAGTATTTTCCCTGCACCCTTATACAGCACTCCAGGTACCTCAGTAAGTTTCAGATCTGGTAACAGCTCACGCTGCTGCGCTGCAAGCTGTAAGAAATGCAAGAGAAGGCGCATCTCCCACACATGCCTGCTGCTGATCTCCACATAGCAATGGGCCTATACGCTTAGATTTTAATATCTGGAATGCGTTTACATGATCCCTTACAGAAATCTCAAGAAGGCCAGATTTTTGTGTAAGTAATTTTTTTTAAACCCAAAGATTCCATGTTCCCGCTAAGAGAACTTTTTTTTTTTTTTTTTTTTTTGGCTTTTCTTTTCCCTGGAAGTGTGGTTAACAGACATCTGCATTTTTACAGAACAGCTAATCCAGTTAGTTCTCTCTCTCTCTCTCTCTCTCTTCCCCTTTTTTTTTTTTATTTTTAGTATTGTTAAATTTGTTAGTATTGTGACTGCTGAGACATTTTGTCTGGTTGGAGATGAAATATTAGAGTTAAAAATGCAAATGTCTAAGGAATAGTAGGTATGTTGTGCTTTAATGCTTTGTGGCAGGTTCCTAGAGTTTGTACCACAGGTGTATGAATGGATGGTGTATTAAACGATAAATAAAAGATTTGCACCGACGTGAGAGAAAATCACTTGCAATCTTTGTCTCTTTCTGTTGGGGCCAGTTTCTTCTTGTTATACTTGGAACGCTGGGATTAATATCTGCTTTTGAAAACTTGCTCTAAATTATTCCATTTTTCATAGAAGAGAAAACAGCTGAGTGATTGAGAAGCAGCTTCCCCCAAAAGAGAGGAGGACATTTTCTCTCTCTCTAAGGCCATGTCTACACTAGCACGTTTGTCAATATAACTGATATCACTCATAGGTGTGAATAAAACCACACCCTGGGCAACACAAGTTACCCTGACAGACGCACCGGTGTGGATAGCGCTATGTTGGTTGGAGACGTTCTCCTGCCAACGTAGCTACCGCCGCTCATTTGAGATGGTTTAATTATGTCGACAGGAGAGCTGTCTCCCATCGACATAGAGCGGCTTCACGAGCGATCTCACAGTGGCACAGCTGCATCGGTATGCTAGCTAGTGTAGACATGGCCTAAGAAACCAGAACATGGATGCACTGCTAAATGAACTCTGTACAGCTAATTCACTCTGCTTGGTTTACACTTTGTCGTCCTTCCGCCTTTCCCAAGGTCTTCTTAAAGCTGTCTTCCTATTATTAAAAATGCAAAGAAAAATGGCAGGTTGTGCATTAAACATCAGGTTTGCTCAGTAATACCACAAAATAAGAGTGTCGGTGTTACAGTCCTCGTGAGAAGTTTTGTCAGAATAAAATAGATTTGTATTTGCCATTCAGAATATCCATGCATTCATCCCTCACACATCCTGTGTGTCATCTGTTCCAGTAGAAATACACCAGTCTTTGTTCTAAAGCTACTTGTGTCTGTCCTTTATGATCTTTGATATTTATGCCTAATCAAAATACAGTTACCTGCTAGAGGAACTCAGCTCTGCAGCCTGCTATAATGATGCATATCCTGACATGAGTAGTTTGGGGTAGCAACAGCGAGGGCAGTACTAGACACTAGGCTACCAGCAATTTTTCCACCATCTCACATAAACCAGCTTAGAATTGGAGTCCTGAACTGAAAGCTGCTATATTCACATGCCTGTGAGGACTGCAAAACAATCTCTCCTATTCCAGTATTACACACGGGGCTTATACCGTCTGTCCCTGTAGTACCTTGATATGTTATATGGTATCCACCAAACTCTCAGTAACTCATGCGGTAGTGTATCACGGCTGCAGCTAACACCTGGGAACAATCAGAGTTCTGTCAGATACCTTAGGGTACGAATAGGAATAATACACATTGTGCATATCTGCACCCTAATTGGTTGTTTTACGGGCTGTTGGCATATCCATTGCAATGAACTGTGTAAGCCAGTTACCTGCTGATTTGCTCTTTTAAATAACCTTCAAACGACATGATATCCACCAGTATTAATGTAACAAAGTTTCAAGATCAAACATTTGCGTCAGGGAATTCCGAAAGGTTAAGATTGTGCCGTTAACTCAGTCGGGTTATGCGTGCACAGTATTTCCTAATCCTCTTTCCCTCTTCAGTATAAGCCTTAACGTATTGCACTTTAAGAATGTATGCCAACAAAACACACAGTAGGATGCTGTGAAAGCTTGTCTCTTTCATCAACTGAAGTTGGTCCAATAAAATAGGGGTTCCCAACCTACAGCCCGTGGGCCATATATGGCCCACCAGAGCATTTCATAAGGCCCACAGCAGGGCTCAGGCTGTCAGCCCCTGACAGAGAATCTGTTTGTCCCACACAAGGTTGTGCTTTGGTTTATGTGGCCCACTCGTGTAATAAAGTTTGGCACCACTGCACTAAAAGATATTACCTCACCCACCTTGTGGTCTCTAACATAATGTGATTGACAGTAACTTGCGAGGGTGCTCTGAGCAGAGCTGTGAGCAAGAGATCTGGGTTCAGTTCCTAGCTCTGCTGCTGCTCTCCCATGTGACTTTGGGTAAATTGCTTCCTTGCTCTGCCTCCATTTCCCTAATTTTTAAAACAAACAATGGAAACTTACCAACTATCTCAGAGGGGTATATTGACACTTGACCATCTTACTGCAGTAGCATCTAAGGACCTGATCAAAACCTCACTGGACAATGCACTGTTCAAATAAGCAACAGAGACTCCCTGTACTAGTGAGTTCACAAGCTAGGGCCTTGTCAGTGTTACAAGCTTAACTAAAATGGATTTTAAAAAATTAAAAAAACTGGTATAATTGATTTAATTAAGGATTGTAAGGAACCTGCTTGTGCTAACTCAGTATAACCCACATTTCAATTGATGTCAGAGTCTCCATACAGGAGGTTTGCACTAGTTTAACTAAGGGCTTGTCTGCACTTGAAAGTTAATGAGTAAGGTAGGGTGTGTATTTAAAGTGCAATAGCTGTTCCTGAAGAATGCCATGTGTGGACAGTCTTTGAAAGCATAAGTGGGTTAAGCTAAACAGGAACAAAAAGCACTTTTATTCTAGAACAAGGGTATCCACACATGGAGTTAATCACAAATGTCTCCTTAGGTAGACAAGCCCTAAATCAACTAAAAATCCATTGTTTGTTAAACTGGTGCCACTTGTAAAATAGACAAAGCCTTAGACTGAGACAATATGCAGCAGTTGAGTAAATCATCTGTGGGTGGGGAGGACAAAGGTAAAGATGTTTGCATAAATGGTAGGCCAGCATCTCAGTTGCCACAATGTTAGCAAAGCATTTGAGGTGGTTGGGTGGAAGGTGCTGAATTACAAAGTGTTCTCAATGAACCTATTAACATTCAGCATTCCTTCCTTGCATTGCTCTGATGTTCCCATAACCCCCCACCCGCATATTCCCTTTCTAATCAAGTAGCTGAATGCCAGTGCTGTCCACTTTGATGACCGTAACCTGGGTTCGGTCATTCAGGGGCTCTTGTAAGAAGTTAGTCCTGCTTCCTGGACAGTAAGGTTCTGTTACAGCAGGCTCATTTTGTGAGAAAATTTCTCAGAACAGCTTTCAGCGGCAGCGCTAGGAGCCACCTGGACCCCTGTCTTACCATTGCCAGTGCTGGGGGAGCTGTACCAGAGGCATGGAGGCAGAGGAAAGGGCTAGTGCTAATCAAGTCATAACCCAAGTTAAACCCCAAACCACACCTACGAGAGTGAGTCAATTACACACAAGCCAGTTTACGGAGAGACATGGTCATAACAAACCTTCAGCACCACAGTCTCTCTAAATCACGCCCTTTGCTGACCCATGAGCCCACCAGCCCTCTCCCACTTACTGGGAGTTTGCAGTGCTCCCCGAAGGACCTTTCCTCCAGTGACTCCTGAAAAGGAATAAATGGCATTACACCCCATGCCTGGGGACCTATGGTAGTTGGCCCGGAAATCTGAATATATTACAATCTTCCAGTAGTATTTGAGCCTTATCCACACCCCCGACTCCCTCTGGGGCGGGGAAGTACCATGTCCCTGGTGTACAAGTAGGAAACTGAGGCACAGAAAGGCAAAGGGACTTGCCCAAAATCACACTGTGAACAAGTGACAGAGCTGGGCATATGACCCTTAGCTCCCAGAAAAAAATGCCTTCTCCACGCGGCCATCCTTCCGTGGTGTGTGCAGGGGGCTCGATCAATCCCTCCTCTGTCCCCCCTGGCCTGGCTGCCTTTCCCAGAATGAAAATAGCAGCGACCTAGGTCATAACTGTTCACCCTGAAGAACGGCCCCTCCATGGGCAGCCAGTTCTCCGGGCCCCGGACAGCAGGAACGTCCCTGGCCCGGGTCTCTCCCTCCCCACCGCAATTTAAAGCGGCCGGGGGGGGGGGTCCACACACCACCAGCCGGACCAGACTGGAGAGGCTGCTGCCTGCTTGCTCCATGTGGCTGCCGGCCGGGGGCATCGGGGTCTCTGCGCTGTTCCTGCCCCAGGCGCCCCTGCAGCCAATGGGAAGATGTGGGGCAGTGCATGGGAGGGAGCAGCACGTGGAGATCCCCGGCCCACCCTGCCTAGGAGCCCCGGTAAGCGCCGCACCTCTGACCCCCTCGCAGAGCCTATACCTCCCACCCCCCTGCATCCCCCCCCCCCCAGAGCTTGCACCCCTTCCCACCACCCCCCTCCTGTCCCCAAACTCCCTCCCAGAGCCTGCACCCCTCAACCCCTCCTCCTGCACCCCCAGCCCCTGCCCCAGCCCAGAGCCTGCACCCCAGACCTCCTCCCCCGACCCAAACTCCCTCCTAGACCCTGGGGTGGGCTCTGGGCATTCTGGGCATCACCAAAATTTCTACAAACCCACCGCCCCTGTCCTCTCCCTAGGCACAAAATCAGCCTCCTGCCTGCAAGCAAAGGGATCTGCTGCCTGGCCTCTTCCTCTGCTGCCCCTTCCCCGTCCTTCTTCTGAGCCAGGACAACTTCCGTTTCTCTGAGGCAGGGAGCCATCAGCTAGTTTACTCACTTGACTTGCCCAGCCAGTGACTGAGTCACCAGCCTGTTGATTAGGGCGCAGCCAGGCTGTGATAGAGGGTTTTAATTTTTCAAAGGCACAGATCATTCTGTGCTGGGGAGTCAAAACTGCAGAGCTGTAAGACAAGCGCAATGCCAGCTGGGGGAGGCTCAAAAGTTGAGGCTCACTCTGCCAAGAGCCCCAGAACAGCAAACGTAGGCCAAGTTCTGCCCTGTCAAGCCAGAGTTATTTCAGTGAAATCGCTGGGGTAGCAGGGTGGCATAGAGGCCTTGCACTCTGATCCTGCACACGCTCACGAGGAATGGAATGACTCCCATGCATTACGGTCAACACCTGAATAAGTATTTGCAGGGTCTGGGTCCAACTGCTTAAACGTCAAATCTGTATCTAGTGCCCAGGGTATCTAACAGAACCTGTGATTACAAAGCTGCAGAATGGAGGAGAGGTAGTATGGTCTAATGGCTGGAAGACTGGACTGGGAGACAGGAGACCAGGGCTATCACTGGCCCAGGCTCTGATCCTGGCTCTGCCACTCACCTGCTGGGACACCTGGGGCTAGTCACTTCCCCGTGTTGTGCCTCGGTTTCCACATTTGTAAAATGAGG